ATGACTGTCCTTTTAAATTCAATGTTCTGTGTTATCTCTAGGGGGTTCACCTTGTAGAACTCTTCTACAGGATTGGTGGAGTTTGGTGAGGACATAAGGTTTTAGCTTTCCATTATTCTTTCATTGTGATTTTGGCATGTGAATCTTTTTTGTTGTTTATGATTCTGCTATGAGTGTTATAGGGCTTCCTAGATCCTTTCTTTATTGGTTATGTAAAGCTGGTTGGTACAGGGTTCAGGTTCTCTCAGATTTAATTTGGAGGGAACTGATGGCTTCAGATCAGCTATTCAGGCGTACCCACAGAAGCCCAATTCAGGTTTCAGTCAGGTACACTCAGGCTTCCTTCACACGTGGAGACACGATCCGGGTGCTCTCAGGTAGTGCCCTGAGTTCTCGGCTCCTATGCCAGAGGGAGGCTAGAACTGGGCACTCTCTGGTGGTCTGCTGATATCAGAGCCATGGCACCAATGGAGGTTGAAACCCACCCTCTGAGCCTGTCTGCTAGGATGCTCAGCCTTAGCCTACCAAAGCCAGATGTGCCCTGGGGCCTTGAGAGGGCCCTCAGGATATCCCAGGTAGTGGCATGGGTACGGAGCATTTAGGGGAGGCTGGCTCTGGGCGCTCTCAGCAGTCCCCACATTCTCAGGCCCTCTGTCAGAGGGAGGCCAGAACTCGGCACTCTCCGGGGGTTTGCTGAGAGGAGAGCCACTATACCAATTGAGGTCGGAACCCACCCTCCCATTTTCTGTATTTTACATGCATAGAGCATGCCTGTCTGCAGCTGTGTTCCCTCATTAAAAGTCCCAAGTCCTGTCTGTTTCGTGTCCTCTGCTGCTGACAGCAAACAGGCAATGAGCACAGGAGATATCACTGCTTAATCATCATGACTGCTTGGTTGCGGTGCAGTGGCTCTGGCTTGAAGTGCTGCAACGTTGAGATCTGTGTAGTTGTTAGTGCAAGAACTAGAGAAAACATAACAGGATCTTGTGATACACATCCGGGAATTGACCTCAAAGCAAAAAAAAAGAGAAAAAAAAAAAGCAAAGAAAAATTTAAACAGGGTTCAGGAGACGTTTGATACTGAATATTCAGTTGCCAGGTTAGAGCATCACAACAGAACACAAACAGCTTCTCCTCCTTCCCCAGACCTGTTCAGATGGTTGTGGGATCACAGCATTAGGACCAACTTTTCCAGTATGTCTTAATGATGCTTATTTATCCTGTGGGCCTCTAGGCCTGAAAACTGACTCAGTGAGTAAACACACTGGCTGCCCAGCCTGAGGAGCTGAGTGGGACTTCTCAGACCGTATGTGGGAGAAGAGAGCTGACTCCCGCAAGCAGTCCTCTGGCCTCCACAGGCATGCTGTGGCGTATACACACACACGCACACACACACAACATAAATAAATGGTAGATAAATATCATTGTACATATTTATATACTTATATGCGCACACTTACCTTCTTCCATTTTCTTGGTGTATTTTAGTGAAAAGTCTGTCCCAGTCTCCTGAGTCCTCGGCATCACCAGATCCATCCACTCCGCCACAGCTCACAGAAGGATCACATTTCATGTGTGTGTAGTTACAGAAGGACGTCCTTCTCTCTGGTACCTTATTGTGGAGAGTTATCTGCTTATACCGTGAATGCAAGCAAGTTAATTCTGGACTGTACATTGGGGGTGATTGGCAGAACACTGGTCATGTGTTTAAAACCCAGCAGCAGCTCAGATTTCCACCCTTAGCCCTTGTGGTGATTTGTTGTATGACAGCGGGTTTTTCCGGTCTCTCACTTCATCATCCAACAAAATCTGGAGGGAACAGCCTGTGCCAAGACAGCCTCACAGTCTTGGGTAGCTGTGCCCCACCGCAGCCTTGTCCCTGCTCCGGTCTGGGAATGCAGCTTAAGTCATTCCATGCTTGTGGGGATATGTTTATGATACAGTCAACTTGGTAGAATGTTGAAATGTTTAAGCTCAGAAATTACTTCTAAAAAAATTTACTATGAGTGTATTGCCTGCCTGTGTATACGCACACCCATGTCATGCAATACCTGTAGAAGTGTTGAATTCCCTCGGAACTGGTTGTTACCCGGCATGGGGTGCTGGGAATTGAATCCAAGTCCTCCACAAGAACAGCCAGTGCTTTTAACCACTGAGCCATCTCTCCAGCTCCAGCCCCAGAAGTTACTTCTAACAGAATTTTTTTAATTTATTTGTATTTGATGTGTATAAGTTTTTGCCCACATGTATGTAAGTGTACCGTGTGCAGTGTTCCACAGAGGTCAAAAGAGGGCATTGGATCCCTTGAAACTGGAGTTATGGAACTGGAGTTAGCAACCATGTAGATGCTGGAAACTGAACCCCTTGCCACCTAACTAACTGAATTTTTTGGTTTTGGTGTTTTAGGTTGTTTTGGGCTTGGGGGGGGGGGGTTGCTTGTTGTTGAGATAGGGTCTCCCTATAGCCCCAGCTGGCCTCACAAAGATCTGCCTGCCTCTGAGCATACAGGTGTGCACCACTGTGCCCTAGTAACTGAATTTGAGTCAGGATAGCAGGTGAAAAAGCCACAGCTGGAGACCTTTTTCTTGAACTACCTTCCTTAGACTACAGGGGCTTACGTTTCATTTCTTTTTGGGTTTTTTTTCTGGTTTTTTGAGACAGGGTGTCCCTGTAGCCACAGCTGGCCCAGAACTCACTATGTAGTCTAGGCTGGCCTCCATCTCACAGAGAGCTATCCTCTGCTGGAATTAAAGGTGTGCACCACCACACAGAACTCAGAATGCAAGTTTAGAACTGAGGTTCTCTGCTTCTACCATGTGGGTCCTGGGATTTGAACTCAGGTCACCAGGCTTGGCAGCAAGCACCCTTACCTGCTGATCCATTTTTGCTGACTCCCCTAAGTCCCTTCTTTTAAACATTATAGACAGTTGGCTCATTTTTACCTGTAATTCTGCACTTTAACACAGATAGTTTTGTTGTTATTGACAGAATTGTATGGCTTCTCTACATGGTTTTTCTCAGTATCTACCATGTTTGGAGCTTTTGGGTTACCACAGATTCCTCTTCGAAATCATAAACCTCAAAAACCAAGAGCTCATAGCCTGGCGTGGTGGTACACGCCTTTAATCCCAGCATTTGGGAGGCAGAGGCAGGCGGATCTCTCTGAGTTCAAAGCCAGCCTGGTCTACATAGTGAGTTCCAGGACAGCTGGGGCTACAAGGAAACCCTGTCTCAAAAAGACCAAAAAAAACCAAGAGCTCAGACATTCTAAGCTCTCCCTTTTGTCTTTGACCTTAGAGCCTCCAGACAGTGCCAGCACTGACCTGGCTGAGCTTGTGCCGCAGACCTCATTCGCCTTGTGCGACAGCTCTAACCTTTATTTTTCCAACCAGAGCCCTGTGTATTGTCTGGTCATAGTTGTAACTTATTTGAGACCATGTCTACCTGGAGCCCAGAACCTTTGCTGATTCTAAACTGTTTAGAAGTGACACAGGTGGTAGCATAATGCTAGATGTGGAAATAGACACACTCAGGTGACTTGATGGGTGATATCAGGCCATCTTAGTGACGAGATATTCATGAAGAGCCATTCACAGGTGCTGGGTGTGGAGCTCAGTAGAGTAGTTGCCTAAATACATGAGGCTCTGGGTTCAATTTCCAGCATAAAACTGGGCAGGGTGGTACATGCCTCGAATGCCCTGGGAGGTGGAGGCAGGAGAATCAGAAATTCAAAGTTGTCCTCAGCTACACAGTAAGTTCCAGTCTGACCTGCACATCAGAAGACGCTGTCTAAAAACAAAACGGCAGCCATTCACATCGATTTCAGGCTCAATAAACAGACTGGAATTTGTGGTTATGATAACCATTCTGCTAACAAGGATGGTCAGAATTAAAATTCTAGTACATTT